GTCGCTGTGTGCCAGAACTCCACTGTGTATATTGAGTCCATGAGTTTCTGTACCTACAACCTAGATACCTGATGAAGTGCAGTTCATAGGCCCAGCTCTGAAAAGTGGTTTGTACATTCAAACAAGCACCTAACCTCATCACCAGAACTGCAGCCATCTTCCTACAGCTCAAAACACAAAAGCTGCCAACTATCTCTAGTACCCCCACAAACTGCACACCAGAATCTATCAAAGACAACAAAACCCAACTACCTGTGGAGGGACATTCCTCACCAAAAAAACACTCTGCCTCCAGTCTCTCAGGCCTGATCCTGAGAGGGAACAAATTACAATGCAAACCACTTTTCAGAGCTTGGCCTATGAACTGCACTTCATCAGCCTCCTAGGTAGTAGGTACAGAAACTCATGAACTCATCAAACCAGGATCCAAGCAGATGCAATGGGCTGTGACAACATCCCCAGCAATGCTAAACACCTTCTCACTTGAAACACTGGTTGGTGGACAGGACAGGTGTTGCTGGGCAACTGTGGCCAGATCCTGCCACATCAGGCTGCAGTTTGTCAAGTAGGCCAGGGGGTCACAGTCCAGTGGCTCCACATCCTCAGCGAGATAGTTAGCCACCGAAGCCTCAGCACTACCTGCCTGAGGCTGGGGTCTGGTGGGTTTGGACCCCAGCATTGAAGCTATGCTCATGGCCCACATTGGCAGTGACTGGCATGGAGGAGACTGGCTGGTGCTGGCGCCAGTGGTGGTAATGCTGGCATAGGAAAGTGGATTCCTCTCTTCCACACCCCCTCACCTCTGCACTTCAGCCTCCCTGACTTTGTTGACTAGCACCTGCATCCAGTGATTGAGGGTTTTGAGGTTGCCAGTGCACATGCTCCCCTTCGCCCTCGGGTCACACATACCCGCCATCATGTGGACCGTACTGGACCATAAGGGATCCAGCCATCTCCTGATGCCCTCCTTCAGCCACCTCACCAATGCCTGCACATCTGGTGACACTGGCCTGCCCCAGCCAAGAACACTGATCCCCTGGAAATTCTCCATTTGGTTCTTCAGTTCCCTCACTAGGGGGATCACCTGGCTGAGGAAAGCATCACTAGCACTAAGGGTCTTGGTGGCCTCAAGGAAGGCCTTGAGGACCACCAGAATCCGGGGCTGCTGATCCCAATCTCCATAAGCAAGGCCATGTCATGGATGGCTTTCTGTTGCTCCACCAACCTTTCAAGCATCAAGTATGTGGAGTTCCACCGAGTCTACACATCCTGTATGATTTTGTGCTGTGGGATGCTCAGCTCTGCCTGTTTCTCCTGCAGCATCTTGCTCCCTTTGATGCAGCAGTGGAAGTAGCCCACCACCTTTCTGCATTTCAAAATCAGCTGGCTTGTAGCAGTATTAGTGGTGGTGCCGTCAACAGCAGCCCTGTCCCCCTCCAATGCATCCCTTACTATTAGGTGCAGTCTGTGTGCCACACAGTGGATGCCAACAAAGTTGGCATCGTGGACAGCTTTCACCATATTGGCCCCATTGTTGGTGACCATGAACCTGAGGGTGAGCTTGGCCTGCCCAATGAACCACCCCTGCACCATGCGGTTCATGGCCCCCATGATCTCTCTTGCCATGTGGGACTCATCCAGCACCTCGGCTTGCAGTAGAGCCCACTGATGGCCTGACTGATCGCACCAGTGCCCTGTGAGGGAGAGGTAGGCATGATTGCCACCCCAGATGCTTCAGATGTTGGAGGTGAAGTGCAAGGCTATCTGTGGCCCTTCCTTGTGCAGCTCCTCCCTCAAGTACTCCCTGCATGCCTCATACAGGGAGGGCACCACCGTCCTGCTAAAGGTAGTGCATGCAGGCACTTTGTAAAATGGGGCCAGAAGTGCTACGAACTGCCTGAATCCTGGCCGCTCAACTAGGGAGAAGGGCTGGCTATCCAGAGCAAGCATCTCCCCAATGTTCTGGGTGATCTCGCTTACCCGTGCTGTAAAGGTGGTCTGCCTTTTCTTTGGGGGGAAGGGGACTTTGGAGTGAGGGAGGGACTTCTCTTTCAGCACACTTGCACTGGTGCCAGGCTAAGCAGGAAGAAGGGCAAGGGGGTGCTGCCTCCTCAGATGCAGCAGCATCACCGTGGTGGAAAAGTGTCTCATATCCTTGCTACAGCTCATGTGCCTTTAGCAACGCTGGCAGATGGCAAACCTGGGATCATCTGCCACCTCAAGATGATCCCACACTACACTACTCCCCTTCATCTGGGTTGAGGGCGAGGATCCTGCCTTATCCCACTCCTCAGCAGGCTGAGACTCAGTAGCAGGAGGAACTGCCTCAGTTGAGCCACTTGCCTGCACAACCTCAGCCTCCTCCGAGGTGCTACTTTCTAGAGGAGACCTGGGCCTAGGGGAAATTTGAGAGGTGTGGAGCATGAACTCTGATTCCCCCTTAGTCCCCAGAATTGCTTGAGCCAGCGTGCTCAGCATCCCTGGTTCCAGCTCCAGCTCCTCCTCTGGCAGTGAGAGGCTCACGCTGAGAGATGAAATTGGGGTGGAGGAGACAGGGCTTCCACTGCTGGTGCCCACTTCTGGACTGAGCAGAGGTGGTGCAGGTGCAGGGACGTCAGGTGCAGACACTGCTCCCACCTTCTTGCTTCCACTGGCAGCACTGATGTCATGACTTCTTGGGAAGAGAATGCATCTGTGTTTGGGTGGGGGGTGGGGGAGGCTTACAGCTCTAGCTCTCCCCCTATCCCCTCTCCCTCCCCTGCCAGAAGACCCGGAACCTGCCATTCCAGCACGCTTCGTATTGATCTTTCCTGTGCTGCAAAAAGTCTCTCTGTGTCCTTTTGTGTGTTTTATTCTCTCTTTTGCATGCATGCACTGGACTCTTCTTTGATTGTTTGCTTCAGTGTTAAGAGTTATATAAAAATTGTGCGCTGTCTGTCTGTCTTCTTCTCCTATGAATATCTGTTTTTTCTTCTTTATATTGTGTGTGTGTGTGTGTGTGTGTGTGTGTGTGTGTGTGTGTGTGTGCATGTAATCTGTGTGCCTCCCTGAATAGCAATGGATCACACTGGCAGGGAAAACACAGCTTTCTTTTTTCAAGGTTGCCAAAAAAGAAAAAGCAAATATAAATTCAAAGAAATGAATTGAATAGTAATAGTGATTGAACAACTAAGCTAAGAGAAGCTAAATCCTACCCAATCCTTTCTAACAACAAAAAAGAAGCAGGCAAATTCAACTACTGAGTAAAGTAAGCAAGCTGGAATGCTTGAGTCTGAGGGTTCCTTTCTCATGCAATTTCTGAGAGGGAACAAGCTAGGAAAAGGTGCAGCATGCCTCCAGACAGAGGCTTTTATGCTGTTTCTGGGTCCCTCCCCCCAGACACTGTCATTGGAAAGGCATCCAGAGAAAAATCCTTCTTACTGGCCACCTACACATGTCACTCTCCCCCCGCCCCCACTCCTCCTTCCCCCTCCTCTCCCTCCCTCCCTCTTTTAACTTTCACTTTCAATGTCTGAAGCATCCAAAGCATTTCTGAAGTGCTTTGGAAGCTCCAAACTGCTTTGGACATCTTAACTGAGCCTGTGCTTTGCTCTGGGCATGCTGCTTCAGATGCTGAAGCATCCAAAGTGGCCCTGGATCTGAAGCATGATCTGAAGACTTGCACAGCCCTAGAGGGAGTCTGGAGCAGCAGCTCTGAGACATGGGCTCCCTGGAAGCTGCCGCTGGTGGATTTCTGGCCATCCAAGATATATTAGTGGGTACAGGGCTATGTGTACTGTGAGAAAAAACTCTTTGGGGGAGAGGGAGCATCATTATCTTGCCCTCTGCCTCCCACCCCCTAGATACACTTCTGGGTGTGGCCAGGGTTCAAATTACACTTTCATTCTTGAGGGGGGGATGTTCTTCAAAAAAAATCAAACTGGTTTATTGGAAGGAGCAGTGTGATCAGAGACCTTCCCCAGGTTATGATTTTCAAATCTTATGGGGTGGGGCTCTCGTCACTTATGGGGGGTGTTCCCCCATGCTGCCCCAGTGCTCCCCCATAATTTGCACCGTGGGTGTGGAACTGCATTGCCCTACTTCTGTAACTGGGCAGCACCTGTGATAAAGATTCAAAGTTGTGAGGAGGAGAGGAGGATTCTCACACCCATTCATAGGTGTCCAAGGCTGGTTTCCTGCTTGCTCCCCTCCTCCAGTCATTCTACTGTACTCATGTACACACATGTACACAGGATTTCTTAACATATTATTGCAAGGGCAATGGCCCATTATATTTTTTAGGGCTGGCTGCTTGTATGGTCAGGTCCACAAAACATTTAATTCATTAGTTTATTGCAGTTAGAGACATTTCCTGGATAATATTTGTACATTCTTACCTGGAATGTCCTCATCCTCTCCATCCTCTGGATCTGCAGTTACTTGCCAAGGGATACAGCTGAGCAACAGGAATAAAGTAGGAACTAAGACACAGCCCCTCTTCATTTCATTCATATTTCCTGAATAACATAAAATCCAGTACCTTTTTAATAAATTTACCTCAAATTGAAGGTAATTAAAAAAACCTGTTCTGTACAAAGCTTCAGAACAAAACATGCCTACCCAGATAGCTAAATGTATTGTAGTAAAAGAGACAAAGAGAGATATAGAGAGAAAGAAATATGTAATATATACACAGATATATTGTGTACACAGAGATAACAAACCCAGATCCTCAGCTTTGTTTACCAAGAGACCTATGGTTCTTAAATCTCACCTCTGGAGTAGATTAAAAGGACTGTTGTGAGCAAGCAACCAAGAGTTACATTTATTTTACACTCTAGATCAGATCCTTTTTAAAATAAGGCTTATTTTTTTATTTCCAGCTTCTGTTCTGTTACTTTAAAATGAATTTCTTTATAAGTAAACAACTAGATCTATTGCATCATTGGATCTACTGTGGATTCTATTTGAAACAGAATTTTGGATAACCCAATGCGACAATTTTTGTGTGTGTGGACTCCATACCTTATGCTAATAAAATTTAAAAGTCAACTATTTTAACTTTAAGCCCTATATATTTTGAGAAAAATAATTTAAGTTATCAATACAGGATGTTGTAGGTCTATTTCCAATACTGAGTTTTGTGACTATTGAAAGTATAAGGTCAGATAATTTGAAGATCTTCAGTGCAACCTCTAATTGTGCATTCATAACTAAGTTCAAATTTATTTGCATCCAAAAATAACAACATTCTTCAATAAAATTGGTATTTGAATATTCACTTGATAGAGAATACAAAGTTAGCATACACATTTTGAAAAACTGATCTAAATGGATAGTGGTAGCAGTGGAACGAATTGTGCACCTTTTGACTTCCCATTTGCCGGAGGAGAACAAACTTCCTCCTCTTGCTGGCCAGGTCTCAAAAGATTGTAAGGGCTACAATGTCCCTGGCCTCCAGGTACTTTGTCACATTTACTGCTTGAAGACCACATTTCCACCATTCTTCATGAAAAATCTTATTTAAGTAATTCCAGTGTGAACTAAGTGTTCATAGCCTTATCGAAGTTAGGGGCTGCAAGGGACCTCAGAGAACATCAGGTCCAGGTCTACTTCACAAGGCAGGAAAGACTGATGAGGTCAGATGACCCCAACAAGGTTTGCATCCAGTCATCTTTTGAAGATCCCCAGGGAAGGTGACTGTACCACCTCTGGGGGGAGTCTATTCCAGACTCTGGACACATGAACCATAAAGAAGTTTTTCCTAACACCTAATCAGAAGTGATCCTCTATCAGTTTATGACCATTATTCAAAGTCTTCCCCTGGGGTGCCTTGGTGAACAGGTGTTTTCCTAGCCCCTGATGTTTACCCCTTATATATGTAAAAGGCTGCCGCCAAGTACACTCTGAGTCTTCTCTTCTCCAGTCTGAAAAGTCTCATGTCTCTCAGTCTCTTGTCAGATGGTCTGTTCTCCAGACCTCTAATCATTCATGTGGCCCTTCTTTGGACTCTTTCCACCTTCTCCACATCCCTCTTGAACTTCAGCACCCAGAACTGGATGCAGTACTTCAGCTGCAGCATCACCAATGCTGAGTCAAGTGGGAGGATGAAATCCTTAGTCTTGCTTGTGATGCATCAGTTGATGCATGCCAGAGTGTTGTTCACTTTTCTGGCTATCACATGGGACTGGTGGCTCATGTTCATTTTATGGTCGATCGTGACCCTCAGGTTTCTTTCTGGCTAATGTTGCACCACTAATGTTGTAGGTATGTTGTGGGTTGTTTCTCTCCAGACAGAACACTTTACATTTCTTGGTATTAAACATCATCAGGTTTAGATCTCCCATATTACAAGCCTGTCCAGGTCAGCCTGTATCCTCAACCTATCTTCCAGCATGACTGCACTTCCCCATTTCTTGGTGTCATCTTTGAACTTTGCCAGTACACGTTCCACACCTGTGTCCAAATCATTGAAGAAAATGTTGAAAAGTACTGGTCTGAGTGCTGAGCCTTGAGACAGCACTGGTCATATTTCACCATGTCAACTCAAATTCCATCTATTAGCACCATCAAGGTCTGACCTCAGAGCCAGTTTCCTAGTTAATGGATCATTAAATCATTGAGGCTGCAACTTGCCAATTTTACCATGAGGACATCATGGGAGATCAAGTCAAAGGCCTTTTTGAAATCCAAGTATATGAGGTCAACCTCATCTCTCTTAATCAGGTGGTGAGTTACCTCATCATAGAAAGTGATGAGGTTGGTCAGGCAGGACCTGCCTGCAACAAAATCATCTTGACTGTCATTTAGAATACTGCCTTCTGTTACCCTATCAATGATGGATTCTTTGATAATTTTTTCCAGGATTTTTCCAGGGATTGAGGTCAGACTGTTTGGCCTATAATTCCCTGGGTCCTCCTTCCTTCCTTTTTTGAAGATAGGTACCACAGTGGCCCTTTTCCAGTCTTCTGGGACCTTACCCAAGCACCATGAGTTCTCAAATAGCTTTATCATTGGTTGTGTGATAATGTTAGCCAGTCCTTTCAGCACCATCGGGTATAGTTCACTGTAGGTCCTGCTCACTTATAGATTTCCAGCATCTCTAGGTATTCCCTCACAAGATCTTCACTGATCATAGCTGGGTGATCACCCCCACCTTGTCCATCCAGCTTTTTGTCTGGTGTGTTAATGTCCTTTGTCTGGTGGAATACCAGTGCAAAGTATTCATTTAGGAATTCAGTTTTCTCCTGAGTGTCAGTTGTCAGCTGTCCCATTTATGTTCTGCAGGGGTGCTACATTTCCCCCCCCCCCCCCCCCCGCTTCGTATGTATCTAAAGAAGGGCTTTTTATTGTCTTTGGTTTCTGTTGCCAGTCTGTATTCCATTTCTGCCTTAGCTTTTCTAATCCAAATCCTACAGGTACAGGCCATTCCTGTGGACTCCTTGGAGGTAATTCCTGGCTTCCATCTTTTATAGGCTTCTCTTTTTGTTTTCAGGAGATCCGTGATCTCCCTACTGAGCCTAATGATCTCCTTATTGTTCAAGCCTCTTTCTCTCTGATTACCTCCCAAGGGTAGGTGGGTGAGCATATTCCAAAACCTGTCATTTCAAACAGGAAAGACCAGTGCCAAACCAAATAGTCACACACCAGGACATGAACCACTCTTCAAGAAAAATATTTTAAGTTAAACATAATGAGTTTGGAAAAAAAACAACCCTCAACACATGTACAGCATGAAACATTAAAAGTTGGAAGTAATGTAAAGAATGGTAACAGTCTAATAAATTGAGGACTCGAAGTACATTAATGTACAGTAATGGCAATCCTTTCATTTTCCCTTTTATGTTAATAGTTTTCACTATTGAACTATATGCATTGATTTTATAGCCAAAAGGCAAAACATCTAGAAGTAGCTAAAGGAAGAATCAGCTTTTCTGAGAATGTTGATATACCGATATATATATATATATATTTGTTATATAAAAGGAATGTCCTTAGTATGATAGAGAAGGCCATCAAGAACTCCAGCCCCTGGCATGGATCTTTGAGGACTCCTGGCACTCTGGTATAGTGCCCGAAGACTGGAAGAAGGTCAATGTGGTGCCTATCTTCAAGAAAGGGAGGAAAGTGGATCCTGCAAACCATAGGCCCATCAGCCTGACCTCTATCCCAGGGAAGGTCTTAGAAAAGTTTATTAAAGAGGCCATCCTTAACGGACTGGCTGACGCCAACATCCTGAGGGATGGCCAACATGGGTTTGTGGGTAGGTCTTGCTTGACCAATCTCATTTCCTTTTACGACCAGGTGACCTATCACCTGGGCGAGGGAGAAGAAGTTGATATCATATATCTTGTCTTCAAAAAAGCTTTTGATCTGGTATCCCATAATCACCTCTTGGTGAAATTGGCCAGTTGTGTCCTTGGGTCCACCAGGATCTGCTGGCTGGGAAATTGGCTCCGTGTTCAGACCCAGAGGTTGATAACTGATGGAAGTCAATCGTCATGGTGCCCTGTGACCAGTGGGGTCCCCCAAGGCTCTGTCCTTGGACCCATATTGTTCAACATCTTCATTAATGATGTGGACATTGGAGTCAGAAGTGGACTGGTCAAGTTTGCTGATAACACCAAACTTTGGGGCAAAGCATCCACACCTGAAGACAGGAGGGCAATCCAGGCTGACCTGGACAGGCTCAGCAAATGGGCAGACAAGAACCTGATGGTGTTTAACACTGAAAAATGCAAGGTTCTCTACCTTAGGAGGAAAAACTTGCAGCATCCTTATAGGCTCAGCAGTGCTATGCTGGCTAGCACTATGGAAGAAAAAGACTTGGGGGACATCATTGACCACAAGATGAACATGAGCCTGCAATGTGATGCTGCCGCTAGTAAAGCAACCAAAATGCTGGCTTGCATCCATAGATGCTTCTCAAGCAAATCCCGAGACGTCATTCTCCCCTTGTACTCGGCCTTGGTGAGGCCACAGCTGGAGTACTGCGTCCAGTTTTGGGCCCCAGAATTCAAAAAAGGATGTGGAGAAGCTTGAAAGGGTTCAGAGAGGAGCCACATGCATGATCAGAGGTCTGGAAAAAAGACCTTACGATGACAGGCTGAGAGCCATGGGGTTCTTTAGCTTGGAAAAGCGCAGGCTCAGGGTGATCTGGTGGCCACCTATAAGTTTATCAGGGGTGACCACCAGTATCTGGGGGAACGTTTGTTCACCAAAGCTCCCCAAGGGATAACAAGGTCAAACAGTTATAAACTACTGCAAGACCATTTCAGGCTGGACATAAGGAAGAATTTCTTTACTGCCCGAGCCCCCAAGGTCTGGTATAGCCTGCCATTGGACGTGGTTCAAGCACCTACATTGAACACCTTCAAGAGTAAATTGGATGCTTATCTTGCTTGGATCCTATGACCCCAGCTGACTTCCTGCCCTTCGGGCAGGGGGCTGGACTCAATGACCTTCCGAGGTCCCTTCCAGCCCTAATGTCTATGAAATCTATGAAATTTGTGTTTCT